ATATATATATATATATATATATATATATATATATATATATATATATATATATATAAAACAAGTTTTATTGATTTTTTATTTTTACAACAAGGTGCTTGAGAAACAACGTGGTGACAGGGTAATAAATTATCCAAAAGCAAAATCATACATATGTAACTCAGATTAAATCATTAAAAACTCCCTCTCTATTCCCTCGAATATAATATATTCAAATTAATGTATTTTTCAATAAAGTTCAATCAATCAAAACAATCATCAATAACATTTCATCTATATAAATCCAAATCCTGTTTTGAGCTTTACTATTTACAATTGCCATATTCCAATTTGGTTTAGATAAACATATTATTAATACTTCAGGTGTCTCTCCTTTCCCTTTTTCCTTAACATAATCAGTAACTCATTTATTAATATCATTTCTTCTTTTATCAAAAATCCCTCTTATTCTCCTTCCATTGCAAAATAGCTATCCTTCCTAAAAACAAAAATATTACTCCAAAAAATACATTTCTACTCTATTTTAAATCTATAATCTATCAATCAATCATCTATGTAAAACTCTTTTAACCCACTCAGTAAAATTTAAATCCAGACCGAATAATTGTTATATCCATAACAAACATATTAATACAGAAAAAACATCTTCTCACTAAGTTCACATATTTAATTAATCTTTATTCAATCAGGATCTCTAACATCTTATTTACCAATCTTAAACCTTGAGTCAATCCGTGTCTAAAAAGCCTTTTAAACCCATTGTATACAGTTTTAGGTCACACTCTTAAATCTTATTCTAGCTTTCTTTTTGTGCCAAGCAGGTTTCCATAACAAAGCCTCTATATCAACAAATAAATCTCTCTTTATTCCTTGTGGTATCATTTGAGTCAAGAAAGAGCATCCCCTCTTTTGTTTTAGGGACCTGACTCCTTTGTAGATAATCCTTGTTGTTTTAAAAGTTCAAGTCTCGACATTTGAATCTGCAAAGACACTCCATTATGTCCAATTTTGTGGTTAGTAGTTGATTATCAAAATTGTCATAGCTCTCAATCAGTTGTATTTGCACGTCCATTTCTGTTAGTTTTGAAATTGTGTATGGTTTAGTTACAGTCATTTTTTGATCATCAGAAATCTCAATAGGTTGTATATAGAATAACAGAATCTTCTTTAATGTTGATTAATTCCTCTTCTGTTGTTTTTTGGTCTATAGAATAGTCAGATGAAATCTGAAGGTCGGTTTGTAAGTTCAAAGTAGAGTTTCTGTTTTTTATTTCTGTAGTACTCTCTTTTATTTGCAGACATATTTGCTCAGTGGCTTCATAGATTTTTTCCAATATAAGTTTACAGTTGAATTGTGAATAGGGTTTCTCCATTTCAATAGTAACTAGAAACAGGCCTGTTATCTTTTAGTGAAGGCTGTATTTAATAACGTTTAGCCAAGTGTCCATCCCCACAGATTTAACAGCTGTTGAATTTCTGTGTCTTTTCCCTTTTGTGATGATCTAAAGGTCAAAACCAATCTCAGCATCAAACAGAAAAAAAAACAGTTGCAATTTTAAATTTCTCCACAGGGTGTCCTCAGTAGACTATAAAGTCTCTTCCCAGACACCAAAAATGACGTTGACAAAGTCAGGAAAAAATAATATTCTTCACATATAAACTAAATCCAGTAATAAAATTCAATAATAAAAGAATTTTCAAGACCCCAAAGTAAATAGAAATAAAAAATAGTCAATTAAAATTAATTTTCATTCCATTTTCAAAGCTTCTCTTCCCACACTAACAAACGCCGCTCTCTCAAAGAAGGGAAATAGTTCCAGAAATGCTTTTTACAGGAAACAAAAAAGAGAAAAGGGCTAAGAGAGGCGGGAAAAAGTCTCACCCGGATCAACCACGGTGGTTCTTTACGCTTAGATGTTCTTCTGACTTTCAGTTACAGCAGCAAAGTGATCGGCCATTTTACTGGCTGATCTTTTCTCCGTTGTCCCTAAGGAGCAATCTCGGACCGCGGAAGG